TAGCAGTCTGAAAGCAGCATTTAGAGTTACGACAGTGGATCAAGCTTTCACTCACAGGATTGGTCAATATAATATGTGAGGCACAAATATCTGATTGAGCTTTCTTGACTCTTTCCTATGTTTACACTAGAGAAAAGTCCTCAGCAATATTGTATAAGTTTGAGTGACTGCATGAAACTGAAATATTGCAATATCATTTAGGTGTACACTAGTGTGTGACAAACACCGTGGCTGAGGAACACATTGCCTGAAACAGACAAACTTCTCTCCTGAAAGTACTTTTAAGTGCAAAATGAGTATCCAATGTTAAAACTGTTTGGCTCCATGTCTTCCTAAAACAAAACTGCAGCTCCCTCTCTCACTCGCCTGACCTCAGGCCTCTGTCTGAAAGAAACTGTGACATAGACACAGAACAGTATACATGTGTAAGTAATTTGTTATGTGATTTATTATAATTAAGGTATATTCTAGAGCTGAAACAACTAATCGATTTAATCGATTAAAATCGATTATTAAAATAGTTGTCAACTAATTTAGTCATCGATTAGTTGCTAAATAACTTTTATTTTGCCGTAAGCGGCTCATTTCGTGCATATTTTAACTCTGCGGTGACCAAATGGTGGCAGTAATGAGCCACCGGAGGTTTTACAGCAGGAGAAGTAGCGAATAGCCAATAGCTGGCCTCCTTTTATGTCACATGCTTCGCGCACAGCTTCTCTTCAGCATACAGCAAGATGGCGGAGGCAAGCGGAGTAAGCTCGAGAAAAAAAAGGAAAAAAGCAGAAGGACAAACCTAATCGAACGAAGTCATCCAAAGTGTGGGAGCACTTTACTTTGAACCTTCAAAAAAGAAGAGTAACCTGTAAACTCTGCGCTACTGACTTGGCCTGGCACGGGAAGTACTACGTCTCTGCGTGAGCACCTTAAACCAATCTCTCTGCAGTACTGACTGTTTGCAAAGATGGCGCCACACTCACTGTTTTAGGCATAAAGTTGATCTTTCAAATAATTTGCACAAAGATGTAAAAAAAAAAAAACATTTATCAGTTTATCAACTTAAATAAGCCTTGTTCGGGATTTTTAAACTACTTCAGAGCCCTAAGGATTTTTTCATGGTGAAAACATTATTGGAAATCTCCTTGTGAAATTTGCTAGAGTATGTAACGGTCAGTGTTTTGTTTTGATGGTCAACATTGAGTTCACTAAAGGATTACAAAGACATAATAAACAGCTCCAGTTAAGTTTTTGATGTGGATATGAATATGTAAAATGGTTAAAATCTCTAAAAAGTCTATGTTGAATGATGAAGGCCCTTTGTTAACAATTTACTTGGAAAAAAATTGGCAAAACTAAAATATAAGTACATAAACCGATTAATCGATTAATCGTAAAAATAATCGCCTGATTAATCGATTATCTAAATAATCGTTAGTTGCAGCCCTAGTATATTCAGTATTCACGAAGTCATTCACAAACTAGAATATTATGATTTCCTCTTTTAATAATCTCGCTTCCGTCATCACTGTTTGTGGAGAGAATGGAACAATATCTGAACTCTGAACATTGTAAAGCGCTTTGGGTGACCTTGGTCTGTTAAAATGTGCTATATCAATAAAGTGCATACTTACTTAATTAATGTGGCTTTTTTTACTGAACAACATGGTTCCTCTTTTGATTTCTCTCCAATGAATTTATAACCTTGTGCTGCTAGATTAGTTTGAATATTTAGAATAATTAAAAGGGCTACACACGTACTTCTGGCATGATAATAGAGTTGAGCAGTTTTGAAGAATATGACAACTTTTTTATATTGTGCAATAATACATAGTTATTCCATATTGTTGTGTATTGTTTTTGACCATCTGATGGTCTGAATGAACCAGACAGAGACGGATCGTGCTGCTCCAAACTCTGGAAGTTTATTTTGGTTTCTCTCAAGTTCCAGTGGTTTCTGATGTTTCTTTCTCTCAGACAGAATAAAGGCAGTACACAGTTTATATAGTCATTGTCACGTCACACATCGAAAGACATACGTGTCACACAGAGACAGTGCACATCATAGTCAAAACATGGAGTCCTTGTAGTCTTGTGCTTGTCCTGCACGTAGGCCATATTGCTATCTAATCCTAACAATGGTCACACAGGTGTTGAGAAGGGGCTGTTTACATCATCGCAATGATCTAACAAACTTGTGGTGAAATCGAGGAATACGCTAATTTCTTTGCATTTAAGTAAAGATGTTCCTTTATTCGTACCACAGTGGGGAATTTTCAGTATTAATTTTGAGTTACCTCACGTCTGGAGAACGTGGGCTGTTTGTAAAGGTCTGTAGTTGTTGTCAATGTTATTTCAAAAGGCAATAGTTAAATGTTCTGTCTTCATTGTTAGTGTTCGACACCATATAAGAATTCATTCATGACATTAACATGTTTTGTAGTTTTAAATCATCCTTTTTATCGATAATTTCTATGTTGTTGGTAATTATCCATAACATTCTAAGTGTTGCAATGCCAACTTTCCAACACAAACAAAGACAATTCTCCCGGGCAATTATATAAGAGGTAGATTATACATGTTTTTAATTGAATTATCTTCTTTAGAAAATAATGTCTCCTTACTCACATTTCTCATTACATAGCGTATTTTTACAATTTGCATCAGTTGTGCACTTCTTGTGTGCTCTGGTCAGTCATTCTCATATTTGAAGCATTTCACTGATGCTGTGTGAGAAGGGGGCGGGACTAAGCGCTCGTCTTCTGCAGATTCTTTTTCTTTGCTGCTTTCCTCTGTTTTACACTGAAACCCAGGACTTATTCTTATTAAAATACATGGAATTAAAATGATGAAAAGTACATTTTCTGACAGTTTTATATTTTGTAGCCCGCCTTCACATCGTTTTATATTGAATAAGTGTAATATATTTAAACTTCCCCCTCATTTCCCCAAAACTATGGGGGCTGTTTTCTACTACACTGCCTGAAAGTGGCATCCGTAAATCTGATATTAGTTTCTAGTGTTCATGTTAGTTTTGGATATTATAAAACTCACATATTGAAAAATCTTACAAAGAAACTTTTTTTATTTTAAGTTTTACATAATCCATAACTGACCTACTGTAAATACTATACATTTTGTGTTTCCTGTCCCTCAATCTATGAAACTTCCTCAGGTGCAGAGGGCATCATCTTAATTTATTTCAAATAGTTACAACAATAATTCCCGATAAATCCACGTTATTGCTTTCCAAAACTTCGATTATAAGAATCAGAAGTGTGAGAACCGTGGAAAACAGAGAAACATGCGAAATGCAAAAAACAATTGAGATTCTTGAGCTGAACTTTTTGGATTTTTTCTATCTATTTCTATACTATTTCTACTGATATACAATACTGAACATTGAATTTGATGATTTTATTTCCTGACATACAACAGGTGATATTTTATGACATGCCTAAAGACTACACTATTAGAAACTTTTACAAACAGCCTGAACATTTTTGAGTAGGGAACAAATTGTTGGATCTAAAATGGCGTCATCAATATCAGTGAAGTGCAATCCATTGCTTTCATGGCGTAATGTTTGGCTTAATGTTGTATAAAAAATGGCACATACTCGGAATGAGAATAATTAAATGTTCAAACCCATTTCTGTCCTTTCTCTTGAATTGCATAACAAGGCTCCTGGGCACACAGCCTCTCAGTTGTGTTTGTTAAGTAAAAGAGCCCAAATGGCACCAGTTACATGTTAATTCAATTACGGCATGTAATTTAGAAACACCAGAAGATGCCTGTTTACTTACACGAGCTTGTGATGTGTTTATTCGCCATTAAACAATTAACATTTTGAATGAATCTACATTTGGTGTCAATGTTATGTTATGTTAAGTTTGATTATAAATACTGTACATGTTATGTATATTAAAGCTGGCAACAAAACATGGACAGATAAAAATATCATAATTCAGTTACCATTAGTTTGGTGTTTGTAGAAAATTTGCTATTTAAAAGAATGCATATTAGGGTTGTCGAGGGATCAAATTTCAGATCTTATTAAAACTAGTATCAAAAGTATAGATAACAGGATGACAGGATGAAGTTTGTTTTTCTGTTTTGGGAACTATTACAAAATCATGTTGAATCATCATTGTTTTTTTTGAAAAAGCAGCTTATTGTTTATCATTGTAAATTAGCACTATGATATCGGAAATAGTATCAAGTGTCAAGGATATTTATTCAAGTATTGTGACATCACTAATACATGCTGACCTATTTAGATCATTAAAGCCTAACATTGTCAGTCTGGGTGCAATTTTTGTTACCAATGTTTTTTTTCTTCACAATCTAATGAATATATTAACGTGTCTGGCTGCAACGCTGGATTATCTCTCTGGCTTTTCAGGGCTATGTTTTGTGCCGTCATGACACTCAATGTTTTTCCCCCCATTTGCAGAAGAGACTGTGGAGAGATAGTGTGTTGGGGGGTGCAGGAGTGATACAGGGAGATTGATGAGGCAGTAAGAGCAGGAGTAATTACTTGGTGTCCATTCCCCAAGCCAGATTGGCAGACGGCTAATATCACACAGACCCCTGGCCCTGACTGACAACCCCCTCTCCACACCGCCACCCCTTCTGAAAGCAAGAGCACCCCAACCGCCCGCACCGGCCTCCAGTGTGTGGCCCACTGATTTCCCCATGTGGCATTATTCCTGAAGTAGCGTGACATGTGGACAGGTGAAGCGCTCGTATTTTAGCTTGTGACAATTTCTTTGATTTATTAACATTGTGGGACTAGCCTCGGACACTGTTGCTTAAAAAAACTCAATTTGAATCGTTTAATTAAAGCTGGAAATTTTACAAA